GAGAGAGAGAGAGAGAGAGAGAGAGAGAGAGAGAGAGAGAGAGAGAGAGAGAGAGAGAGAGAGAGAGAGAGAGAGAGAGAGAGAGACGAGTGGGCAGCGATCTTACATCGTGGATAAGAGCAGATCTGAAGAGATCAGATGGAGGAGGAGGGTGAGGGGTGACCTGGAATACCAATTGCAGCGCACCGAGCAATTGGTAATCTTCCAATCCACCAGAGCAACTATTGTCACAATCGGCAAAGCTTCGATGAATCGTCTTCCGAAGAATGACGCACTCCTCCAGCATTCGATCCACATGTTTCGAAACATCTGCACCCATCGTAAAATTATTCCTCCGTCCGATCTCCCTCGCCCTCGTCCCAGAGAGAGCCAGTGTCAGCCCGGAGCACGCCTGGCGGCACTCGGTCTCCCTCTTTTTCGCCCCTGTCTTTCCTCCCTCCCTTTGCCAGCTTTGACAATTCAACGAACAAAGACTGCAGAAGGCAGAGACCGTTCGCGCACCCACAGAATAGACAGACGCCAGCAGAGGCAGAGACTGTCGCAACGTAACGAAGCTCGAGGGAGGCAGTGAAATTCTCACTACCGGGCGGTACTTCACCAAGTTTCGAATAAGCGGAGACCAATCAGAACGTTCTCTATTCTCCCATAAACCTTCCCGCGCAAGCCAACACGAAAGTTTGTCGGCGGTGTACAGCCCCAGACAGGCAATGGCCGTGCCGCCGTTCATTCCGCCGCCCGCCGGCACTCATTTCATCTCACCTCATCACGTCACATCACATCGCATCACATCGAACGGCGCCTACAGGAGGGCGATAGCGGTGGCCTGCGCGGTGCCCACGCGCGCCCAGAGGAGGGCGATACGGGTGGAGCGCGCGGTACCTGCCGAGAGGAGGGTGATACCAGTGCAACGCAGGTACCCGGCCAAGGTTTTTTTTTGTTGTTCTTACTTCTCCTCAAAATTCAAAACTCATTACTTGTATCATTGTACCAACTGCCCTAGCGCAGTTGGTACACCACTGGACTCAGTTCGAACTTCGCTGGAAGCAGACGAGTGAAATATTGCAGTTCTCTTCTTTTCTTTTTTTTGGGGGGGAAGTTAGCATATTTCATTCCAAAAACAGGGAGAGGGGCCCGGGAATACACCCCAACAATACAACCCGGTACAGAACATGCTCGGCCCTTTACCCAGCTGTAGGCTCCTGGGGCGAGGACCCGGTACAGAACATGCTCGGCCCTTTACCCAGCTGTAGGCTCCTGGGGCGAGGTCCCACTACCGGTAGAAACTGGATAGGATAGAAACGAGTTTGTGGGGCAGTTGAGTGACCCAAATCCTGCCGTGCAGTCCTCGTGATCCCACGGTCAGTATTTTACATGTATTACCCGAAAAAGTAAGGAGATCTTTGTTCCCCTCCTCCTCTCCCGTGCAAAGAAAGATTCCCGCCAGAATCTTCTCAATAGGTTGGGGGTGTGGCCAACCCCAAAAGAGGGTGGGTTCGGCCTTAGGCCCACTGGACAGAAGATTTTCAGTATTTTACTTGCTGTTGTGCAATTATCTTATTGGGTGGAGCCCTCCTTCAATCACGGAGCGTATGGAGGGTGTCAGGATCACTGCTGACAGAAGTCAAGTTTATCCCAGAAAATGTGGCGGTTACTTTGTTCACTGTTGTTGCAACCACCACCATCAGATCACAAAAATGATCTGATGGCTGGGAAGCACTCTGCCGTGATTTCCGGTGGGAGGTCTTTGTTTTTTTTTTTGTTTGTTTGTTTGTTTTGTTTTTTTGGAAAGCTTGGAACTTTATTATAATAGTAAAAAAATTGAATGAGTCCGGGGACCTGGCAATTCAACCCGGAGTTATCTTGGCAGCTTCAGCCAGTTTAGCTTACGAGCCAAGTGCGAAGACCAAACCTTGCTCCGGGCCCAGCGTCCCTTCCAAGATGGACTAAAGCTTCCCAAAAGTAAAACTTGAAGCTCTGAGTAAAAAAAATGCGGGGGGCCTCATTTTGAGCCCTGTGGCCAATAGATTCCAGGAGACGTCGTTGGTTACGAAAATTAAAATTGTTCCATGGAACTGACCTATAGTTCAGAAAAATCTCAACATGGGCCTGTTCAGAAAAGGTAGTATCAATGCAAGCCCTTGTGACATCAGATCCAGTTTACAGCCTACCACGACTGTACCAACTTTAAACCTTATCGGTCTAAAATGACCAAGTTAAGATACTTTGCTTCCGGGATGCAACCATTTAGAAATCAACAGACGTCCCTCTGAGGTGACCGAAGCTTTGCTTCCGGGATGCAACCATTTAGAAATCAACAGACGTCACTCTAAGGTGACCGAAGCCCAAATTTTGTTCTTCGACCAGGAGGTGTGAGAACTTCGGGAGACCCTGCCTTGTCTGTCCTTGGGCAGTCTCCAGTCTGCACGAATAGCCAGTCTGATTTGCTCCACTACCAGAGTAATTTGTTGATGTATGTGGAGCGTTTCACCTCTGAAGACTCTTGCATTCCTAGCTTTCCATATGATGTTCATCACTGCTTCTCTGCACACAAATGCGATGTAGCCCCAACCAGTGTTGAAATTTGACCATTTGGGGTGAAGAGCATGGAGGATCCAGTCATCTGTCCATTCTCATTCGTCTCCCACCATATTCTTCCAGTGATGCTTCCACCAACGCCACAGTTCATTAGCCAGTGGGCACTGAAGCCAAAGGTGGGTGCTTGCTTCCTAGCCCCAATTGCACCTCGGGCACTTCGTGTCCATTGGCACTCCTTTGGAGTCTAACCAAACTGCTCTTGTTGTAGTCTGCATAGCCTGTAGCAATTGAATGCCCGCTTGCTTCTTAGACGGTTTTTTTTTCAAAATCCTCCATATAGCCTTGAAGTCCGGAGGGCCACGCGGACCCACAACTTGTTTTTGAAACCTTGTCAGGGTTTGATCCCCTGGTTTCTTTTTACTCGACTGTTGTTGGGCTTTTACCGTTGTCTTGGGTTTATATTGATAAAGTGGGGTAGGGTGTGGGTTTATGGCGTCCCTCCAACCAAAGTGCAGAGGTTCGATTTTTTAATCCCTTGCCTCTTTCTTTAGGAGGACCAAGCTTTGGAAATACCTGCTACCCTTATCTTCGACTCTTGCTGCTTCCATGCCTACCGTTGTCTGCACAGACTCTTTTTTTCATAACTGAGAGACGAGTTCCCATTTTGGAGGCTCTTCCCCACCCAGGACTTGACTTTCTTCCCTCCCCCCTGGTCTGGACCGATGACTCGCAGTATCTTCTGGGGATGGGTATCTGTAGTCTGGAAAAGCCAGGTCCCAGTTTCGTGCTCTTCAGATTCATTGAGCAAGGATATCCATTGTGTTGGAATTGCCTGGATGAGTAGCTTCCTTTTCATCTCGGTCGAGGACTTCCAATTAGCTGCGCCCGCATCCCACAGGTCCTTCACCTGCATAATGCCCCTTTCGACCCATCTCTTCCCAAAGTCCCCCCTCTCCTTTGCTAGCTGGAAAGGAAGACCATTAATATTGATCACCAGCGAGTTTTCAAAAATGAACTGATTCAGCACTTCAATTATAGTTTCGGGTGGCCTAACTAGTTATGGACGAACTCGTTTCCATGCGGAAAGGATGGAAGACCAGATTCTAGATTTAGTTTTCTTGCCGGCATAGGCATTCAGCATAATTACTCTCCATACATCAGAGTTATCCCTTAGTGATCAGTCATTGTTCAAGATATACTCAACAAACTTGATCCAGAGCTTCTCTTCCTCCTCAAATATGGCGGCCTAGGATATACTCAGCAAACTTGATCCAGAGCTTCTCTTCCTCCTCAAATATGGCAACCACTACTCATTTACTGAGTAAGGCCACATTCTGTTGATGGGGGTCTAGGATGTCAAGACCCCCTTCCTCCCTGGGCTGTGTTACAGTTTTCCATGCCACCTTGGACATTAAATTCTGGAGTTCAGAAACTTTTGGCTTCCATAAGTACCTCGCAGCCAAGCGACGAATCTTCTTGCATGCTTCATCCCCCAAGTAATGAACAGTTAGGGGTAACCACAACAGAGAAAAAATTGCAGATGACAGAACCAGCGCTCGTCCAAACAATGACAGCTTGTGGGATTTGATCCAACCCACCACCCGTGCAGCAAATCTGTCCACCAGAAGATTGTCTTGGGTAGTCCGACAATGAGATCTGCACTCCGAGGAAGCGGTTATAGTTTCCAGTAACAATTTGTCGCAGACCCCAATCAACGCAAAGCACAAACTGTAAGGGGAGGAAAAACACTGACTTGTCCCAGGTAATGAAGGCCTCTGACAGCGCAGAATATTTGTCTAATACCTTTCTTACTTCATTCATCCTTGTTGGTGTGTTCTCACACGCTAGTGTGAGGTCATCAGCTATCGCCCCTCCTTTCCAATATAAGGAGGGAGATATATATACTCATGTGATGTTATTATTATACCTGATATTGTCTAACTTGAATAACACTTCTAATTGAAGGACAAAAAGGAGCGGAGTTAGTGGACAACCTTGTCGCAGGGAGCTTGTCAGCGGGAACTCTTCCGACATGTTACCATTGACAATTACTACCGAATTAGCTTGAGAATACATTACTTGGACAGATCTGATAAAGGAGGGGTCGAATTCCATTTTCTTCAACGTGGTCAACACAAAGGTCCAACCCACTTTATCATACGCTTTTTCCATGTCTAGCAGTAAAACTGTCATATTTATGTCTTCTTTGCCAACCACTTTCAGCGCTTGTATGGTGGTTAGGATGTTTTCAAATATGGAACGACCTTTGACAAAAGCACCTTGCTCCCACCCAACCAGATCTGGAAGTATTTCAGCCAACCGTCGGACTTGTGCTTTGGCAAAGATTTTATAGATCACATTTAATACAAAGATAGGTCGATAATTTTTAACTTCTGACGTGTCCCCTTTTTTGTAGAGCAAGGAGGTAGTTCCTTTTGCAAACCATTTTGGACAAGATCCTGTCGCTAAGAGTTTGTTGTACATCTGGCACAAAAAAGGGGCAAAGACACTCCAACATTGTTGAAACAGTTATAGCGGGAGTCCATCCAACCCAGGGCATTTGCCTATGACCATCTGTTGAGCTACCTTGAGTTTTAATTTTGTGAACGGTTCTTCAAAGTTTGCGCTTTGTTGGCTTGTCAGTCTTATCCTCGTCAGATCCCATAAATCTGAAGACAAAGAAAAATATGTGTCCAATGTATCGAATGGGCGTCGTGTGGTTACTATATCCCTGAAGTATTCAACCGCGTAGGCACATATTGTGTCTGTGTCCGTTGCTTTGGGTAGAGACAGCGAGAAAGGGTGGGAGAACTCCACCATCAACGGTCTTGACTGCCTCAACAATAAAGACATGAAAGTCAATTTTGTCATCATGTCATAGCCGATAACTCCCCCGAGTTTCAGCCACTCCAACTATTCAGTTTGTTTATGAGATTCCAGATTTTCCAATTGTAACAGACTTTCCTTTCTAATTTCCGCCTAATAATAGTCCTCAAAGGGATCTTTGTCCATTTTAGATTTTGCTTCTCTGATTTTTTTTGCAAACTCTTCTCACTCCACTGTCTAGCTGCCGCCTTTATTCTTGAGAACACCATCAGAGAAGACCTTATTATTCTTATGTCAACTGCTGCCCACTCACCTATATCCTTAAGGAATAGGTCCTTTGCCTTCATTCATTCATTCATCTGATCATTTATCCAATTTATTATACCTTCATCTTTTAAATTACTGACATT